GTAGTTATTCTACCACTTCTTAATAACATGCAACACTGTGTACGTGTAAAAGAAAAGCAATAACATAAATGAACAAACAGATGACAAAAATTAGCAAAGTCCCACCAGGTGTGCCAATTTGTTTACCGTGGTTTTTGGTAAACAACCACTGATCCTCCAAAAAGGAAAGCCCTTTTGGTTACTCGCGGTATCGATCAGATTGATCCTAGAACATATGCTAATTTTTGTGCTGGTTTGATGTAAAAGTTAATATCTAGGAAGAACACACGTTCGACCGGGGAGTTGGTGTTTATGGTTTTGGAAAGCAAATAGAAATGTAGATAAAATGCAGGAAACGTAAACTTTGCAAAAGAAGATCAAAGCAATATAAAATATTTTATTAATAAAAGGTGGTGTTTCCAATGTACATTCTCAGTTATTCTTTCACACACAGCGGGTACTTGAATAATGTTGAGTGACTAGTACAATAGATTGAACACACGGAAAATCTACACAAACTTCCTACCTTTATACAAAAATTACGTAACTGTCGAGGGGTTACCTTGCTCTAGAATGAAGAAAAGTGTCCTCTGCATGCCCCTCGACCTCTATCTTCCTGCCATGTCGCTTTCCCTTAATGTTAGGCGAACTGCATTTCCCTCCCTTCTTCAAATTCAAATATCCTTCGTCTTTGATGCTGACACAAGGGTTGTTCTTCTAGTCGAAGGTCACATGACCTTTTCAGTCGAAGGCTTGATGGCGATATCTGGTCGAAGACCAATTTGTAACTCAGATATTTCTCTAAGTTTTTCCATCCATCGAAGCATTTTCCAGCTTGGCTTTATTTGCTCTATATTTGGCCCATAAGGCCAATTTATCATGGGTGTCGAATTTAAGAGCCAACAAGAATTAATTTTCATCATAGGAAATTTACAAGGAGGTAACAGAATATGCCTCTGACACAAGTAAATTCACAAGAAGGTAACATAATAAGCCTCAAATAATTGATGTCAAATGAAGCAGATCAAATAGTATTCATTATAGACACCATTAAATCATAACTAACTGGTTAACTTAATTGAATCACTAGGCACTATTAAGTCACAAATCACAATGCAAAATAGGCCTCAGATATAATGAAGCATATCATATAAAATCCATCATAGGCCTCAAATAATCATTAATATCATACATAATTCATCATAGGCCTCAGATAACAATGAAACAGATTAAACACAATTCATCATAGGCCTCAGATAACAATGAAATAGATTAAACGAAATTCCTCATATACCTCAGATAATCATTAATATCATACATAATTCATCATAAGCATCAAATAACAATGAAACAGATCAAACAAAATCATCATAGGCCTCAGATAATCATTCATATCATACATAATTCATCATAAGCATAAAGCATCATATAATAATGAAATAGATCAAACAGAATCATCATAGGCCTCAGATCAAATAATCATTCATACCTTGGATCAAGGATTGCACCAATAGAAATCAATGTATCAGACTTTAACTAATACTTGTCATATTTCAATTTCATTTCATTAGCAAACGCTTGAAGCTGAGGATTATTTGAGATACTTGAAGGTTTATCAAGTAGAACCTTCACCTGTAAAGCTCATCCGAAAACAAATTATCAGTAGGATAAGAAGTGCCACTTATAATTGATGTCACATCAATAAAAACTTTCAAAACTTGCAAATATCATGAACATCTTCCCAATCATTAGCCTCAGGCAAAAACTGAGAAATGCACCATTTTCCTCAGCATATCTAGGCCACGTATCTCTGTAATGGTATGCAGTGGACAACATCAACCAAGTTGAGTTCCACATTGTCTTGGTATCCAACACTTTCATTTGCCTTCAAGTTGCAACTCATCAACAAACTTTTTAAATCCATTGCATCTAGTTTCAGAATTCAATAAGTATTTGACACTGTTTCTTATCTTATCAACAACCAACTTATCATATCAAGACCATCCTGCACCAACAGATTTAAGATGTGTACACAACACCTTACATGAAACAGTTTACCATCTAAGGGTAAATTTATCCTACTAGAATAACCTCTCTTCAATCTAGCAATGCAATTATCATTGGCACTAGAATTATCTATAAAAATTGAAGCTACCTTATCCCTTATTCCCCAATCATCCACCACCTTAATCAACTCCCTACACATAACCTCCCCAGAATATGGTGGTGGCACATTATGAAAAGATAAAACTCTTTTATGAAGCTGCCATTTTGAATCAATGAAATGACCAGTCACAGTCATATAACCTATCCTCTATTCACCAGACCACCACAAGTCAGTGGTAAGATTATCCCTATTAATCAAACCCATAAACCTTTTCATCTTAACTCTCCCAGCCTCATAAAATGACTCACAATCAAACATAACATATTTCCTAGTAATCTTTTCGTACCATGGATAAATCTCCCTAAGAAACTCATTAAAAATAACACCTTCCATAACACAAAAAGGAAATTCATGACCTAGAATCATATGTGCTGCAAGTTCTCTAACCCTAGCATGATTATATATCCAAGTTTCCAAACTTGGAGTACTATCACCTATATTTAACCTAGATTGTGCAACCTCTTTGTCATTATTACCTTTCAACCTCAACTTTCTCTGAATACAAGCAGCTAAATATTTCTTACCATTAGATGTACTTTTCCACTTCGTATTATATGTGTAAAACTTACCACACCATCTGCACTTCCACTTCTTAATGCCATCAGGTCCTTCAAGAAACACCATTTCAGTATGAACAACATATTTTTTGGGACGAGGAGTTTTACCAAAGGCATTTCTCTAACTCTGAAAACTCTGGTCTTGGTCAATTGGAGGGATTGACCCATCAGTATTTGTAGTATTTTCAGTGGGGGTATTTTGAATGATAGTATTACCAGTGGGGGTATTTTCAGTAGTGGTATCAGTTGGAACTGGAAGCTCCAAATCAATCATCTCACCAATCTCTTAGTAACCTCCATTTGTTGTCTCCTCTTCCTCAATGTGAGTAAGCAGCATATAATATCAAGTAGAACATCTATGGTTGGAGGAGTCAATGAGGAATCTTGAAAAGACATGGAACAAAACACAATCAATCAAACAATAAATCAAGAGAAACACAACAACACAAACCCTCGGATTTTATGAAGAACAGAAGATAAACAAATATTCAAAATCCTATCCGAACCTTTATTATGACAAAAACTCAGCAACACAAAACCCTAACCCTTTATTATTATTAATCAAACATTGAAACACAAATCTCAGGTCAAAATTCTAACATGCAAAGATATTAGGTCAACGTTAAAACATAAATGTTTGATTTAAAACACAAACCCTAACTAAAAATTTAAAATATTTTAGGTCAAATTTTTTTTGGACAACACTGAAACATTGTATTGGTAATTAAGGATTCATCAAATATTTCAAATCAAACATGCATACTTGGTAAAGATAAAGAATACTATAAGAAAAATAACAAATAGAAAAATTTGAATATATTACAAGTTTATGGAAGCCTCTGAAACAGATATACTCAACAAGCACTCAACAACGCTCACGAAGAAGAAGAAGAACACGTACACTACACTTAAGTATTTTGGTTGAACGTCATCATCGGACAGAGAGAGGAGAAGAGGAGATCGTCAGAGGAAGCAATGAGAGAGACATGTGGAGCGTAACTGAAGGAGTAGGAAAATAAATTTTAGGGTTAAATATAATTTTGATCCTTATAAATATCTCAAATTTCATTTTTAATCCTTATTAAAAAAATGATAAATTTTGGTCCCTAAAAAATTTTTGTTCATCCAGTTTTAGTCCCTGTTATTTTCTAAAATTTTAAAAACGGTTTAATTACCCTTAAACTTTTAAATTTTTGAATAATATATTTCATACGTGTTTAGAATACTATAAAATGTTTCTTTATCAAATTTTAGAATTTTTTTAAATGAGAAGAATTAAATATAATTTTTTTTTAAATTTCAAAAGATATTGATAAAAATAATGAAAATCTCGACTTAAAAATCAAATTTTGAATTTCTTTTTTTCCAAGAAACTTTTTATAAACGTTACATGTCTACAAAATAATTATTCAAAAATACACATTGGTTTAACAACAGGACTAAAACTACGTGCATAATAATTTTGTAGGGACCAAAACTTATCATTATTTTAATAAAGACTAAAAATGAAATTTGAGATATTTATAGAGATCAAAAACATATTTAACCCTAAATTTTATATTATGTGTTTCGATTGCTCATTGGATAAATAGTATAAAAATATTATCCATGTCGATCCATATCTATTATCGACCAATCAAATAGAACTGCTCTACTTATCCGGTTCTCAGACCTGACCTCAGTTTCTTAGGCCCAATAACAGCTCTAGTATAGACTATTATTTTCGAAATTAGAGTGAATAAAATTGAGATAAAAAAAAAACTTGACCAAAAAAAAGTTGAGAAAAAAAAGAGAGAAAGAAAACGAATATAAAAGGAGAGTAACGAAAGCAGTGAAGAATTAGGGTATGGAAAATTGGCAGTGGCGATGAGCGAGGGAAGAAAGTGCTTGAAGCTTCGAGGAAAAAGGAACTAACATGTGGATGAAATACAAATCTGAATCAAAAGGGTTTTTTTAAATCATTTCATGATGTTCTCTTTTTATAATAGTTTTCAATCTGAATCACGTTCCTCTCCTTGACGCTCGCATTCTCTACTCTCACAACGCTCTTTCAATTTCCAATAGCCCTATGAGCCTTGTGATGTTGATCTGAAGGCTCTAATTTTCTTAAATTTGCGTATTCACGTTAATGATTTTGATATTTTCACTATTTCTCTGGTTGAGATCTAATGTTTTAGTTAGTGTTTTTAATCTTTGATTTGTTCTAATTGTTTGTGTTTTGTTGTTTGTTTTGTTCTACTTGTTTGTGTTTTGTTGTTATTTTTTAGTTTGTTTTTGCACTCCATGTGTTTGTTGAAATGCATCATAAGTATTTGTTCTTTTGGAACTGTAATTTGAGTGCGGTGCTTATGGTTATGTCCACCAGCTTTAGCATTCTTTTCAGATGTGGTTTTGAATTGGTTATTTCTGAGGTCACCTACTTTCAAATTGAGCAAAATCAGTCCAAAAGAATGGACTTTGTAATGTTGCTGTCTGAAAAATTAAAAGCAGTACATCTGTTACAGTGGCAAGTAGTACAAACATGAGTTTGACCATATGTATTCAGAAAAGAAATTGAATACATATGTGGTACTAGATTTGAAAATATTTTCCTTTTCAATGTTATACATTGGTGGTCATTGTCTTTAAAATTTTATTGATTGAAATGAGAGAAACAAATGAGAGAATTAAACCCCTTAGCCATTGCAAATTCAAAATGTTCTAATATTCATTGTCAGCAAAACAAAAACCCAATCTAATCTAGTAATCCAATCTAATCTAATCTAGTACAAAATATTCCGCAGCAAGTATAACCCAATCTAATCTAGTAATTATATCGTTATGATTTGTTAATGAAAAAGTTCTCCATAAAATTTGAATATGTAGTTTCCACAATGGCAAGTCCTCAAAGTGGGTGATTAATATTTTTGGAGGGATGGCAAATCTTGGCATAACTATCATTCCGTTCAAAACCCTACCTTCACCAATACATGCAGTTGGAAAATTTGGCAATTCACAACATTCCATATTTCCTAAACCACCATGGAGGGGCATGTTTTTAGTCAAACTTAGTACATCATAAATATTCCAAACGTATGATGCATTTGTAGACGAGTGGACAATATATGAATGACTACCTTTAGGGATAATGTGTAGTATTTATCGAAAATTCCATCCAAAGACAATAACTTTCCCTAAATTTTTTTATTAAGAGTTGCTAGAATCACTCATTATATATTTTAGTGTTACGTCTAGCACTTTAAAACAATTGTGATCCATCGATGCTTAATTCAATTATCAATTATCAATTTAAAGTTCGTAGATAGACTAGCAATGTTTTTCAATTTCTATTAATGTGAGATTTTGCGACTCAGTCTCATCTAATAAAATATCTAAAAAATACACAAAATATTGTTATGGTTGTTGTGGAGGTGAATTAGTATATTTGTAATGTAAATACAGTAAAACTTATCATATGCGTGGGGAATGCGAAAGATTATCCGACAACCAAGTCCATGTAGTCCTCCAAACATGATCTAGTCTTTTAATTTTTCTTGTTAACAATGACAAACAATTTTCCAAAAAGAAAGTTACCTGACCCCAATTTACTTGCTTCTTTGATAATATATTCTTTATCATCCTCAAGAAACTCTATGGAAAAGCACACACCTCTAAAAGAGAAGTGTTAAGTGTTAACGACTTGAAGGATATTCTCATAACATGTTGGACCTTTCATAATAGTCAAAATCATTCTCAAATAAAATAGTTTCTAAATTGTAAGTGGAATCTATATCAAATGGTCAAATGTAAAACATTTCTTTATTAGATTCCTGATAACTTGAAAACGCATCGTATTTTCCGATTCGATTCATATGCTATTTAGTCTTATTTCTCATTTTTATCATGCTTTTATGTTGCTTTGTGTTGTGTTTCAGGCTTTTTGCTATTTGTGAAGAAACATGCATCATAATAAAAAAGGAGGAAGAAAGAGCAGAAAAAGAAGCAAAATCTCACTTTTGCTGATGTGGCGGACGCCACCACCACCATGGCGAGCGCCATGGCCTCCATGCCACGTAAATTAATGAGTCTCAACTCATGGCGGTTGCCATACACCAGGAAAACATAAAACGTGAAAAACAGAACAAACCGCATCTTCCTCCAATTTCCTATATTTTCTAAAGTCAGTTTTGACACGATTGGAAGAGTGAGGCAGTGCTGTAACTCTATATAAACCATAGTTTTCTTAGTTCTAGGCGTCAAAGTTTTGTAAGCGAAGCTCTGATGAATTGAAAAAGCGATTATTTGTATGAATTTCTGATTGTAATCATGCCGACATACTTAAAAGCAATCAAAGTTCCTTTATTTATGTTTTTATCAGGTTTTTTATTTACCGCATTATAATTATTATTTGTTTGATTTAATCAACATGTTTTACATTTATCTCAATTAGTATGTTTAATGTATTCTTAATTAGTAATATGTCCGGCTAAACATCTAGAGCCCAGTATATGAGTACCGTCGTTTCCGACGGGACTCGGTAATAAGTTGGCTTAATAATTTATTTGAAAATTCAGTTTCGGTCTTTGTTTCTTAAACTTAATTTAAATAGCTTTGTCACGAGAGTGAAAGGTTATTTAACACAATTTTGTCAAAAGTGAAAAATTAACTAAGGTTCGAGCCGACACTGCAAGAGCGTGGGGGTCGAACCAGATAGTAAGAACGGGGCATCAATTCCTAAAGAGAGCAGAGCACTTTAGGCATCTATTAGAACTTGTTCAGTTTTCAAAATGCGTTCCTTGATTAGAATGAGCGAGCGAGAGCAAAATCTCATGGCTAAGGAACATGACTTTATTCAAAACCACGAGAGTGTGAGATATTGTCTTTAAATTGATATTTTCTACTGAATACTTTTCTAACATCACTACAAGTCAACGAGTTACAGAGTCCCTGAGGTACACAGGAAACACATTCTGGTCTCTCTTTATTATAATAATTTTCAATTAAATTTAGTTCAGTATTAATTCCTATTAATCCAAGATAACTATTCGTCTTAGATTTACATAGTAACGATAGATAACATTAGTTTGGTTATTAGTCTTGTGGGTTAAATATCTTTTAAAACTATGCGATTAGACTGTGCACTTGCAGTTAATTAACCCGAGAGACTCTTAAAGTCGCGATCAAGTTTTTGGCGCCGTTGCTGGGGACTAATTTAGTCAATATTGTGATTCTATTGTTACGCAATATAGACTAAGGCAACAAATTTTACTTTTTTTTACTTTGTCGATTGCATGCCAAGCACTCGCTCTCAAGGCGAGGATTTATAGCAACGATTGACGAAGTCAAGTGTTTTATTAATTTAAGACGTCGAATCCAAGAATTTCGTATTAAATACAATCTTCCCGATCCTAATATTCCTTTTCTTGAACCAGTTCCTGAACCAGAACCAAGTATGGCTGAAGGATCACCAAACCGTCCTCTCAAGTACTATGTTGTCCCATCACAGGAAGAACTGCATAACAACATTGCTGCCCCTATTGATCGAAACGATTTCGAGTTGAAACCTTCGTTGTTGCAAGCTGTCCAACATAATTAGTTTTCAGGAAGTTGGATGCCTGATTTTAACAGTGGGCAGTCAGCTTGCAAGTTTGAACAAAAGTAGCAGTATTTTCCACAGCCTGGAAATATCCCGGCTTTCATCAAATTCACTTTAATCACTGGTAACAGAGTCAAAAGGTCATCAACAACGGTAACATGAAAATCTTCCATAATTGCATGTACATTATGACCATGTTTGGGCATTGGAGCGGATATCACGTTGGGTTTCTCAGGAGCATCAAACTCTACCTCCTTAGCATCTACCAGGTCTTGGATATTGTTTTTAAGATCCCAACAGTTGTTGGTATCATGCCCTACACTGTCCGAGTGGTATGCACATTTTGCATTGGAATGATAATAAGGAGAAGATGTATTAGGGTTTTTCGGCGCTTCTTTTAAGTTGGTAAGATTCAGCTTTAACAAATGAGGGAGGACTTGAGCCGGTGTCATATTGATTCGGGTGAACTTCCGTTGTGGCCTTTCTACCCTTTGCTGGTTAGCTCTAGGTTGACTGCTTCAAGGTTGATCAGCTGAGGAGTTTTGAATCATCACAACCCCCACCGTTGGTTGGCGCTCCGTTCTTCCTTGATTTTTCTGGGAATAAACAGCAGAAGCTTTTTTCTTGGCTGGGAAGGTCTTCTTAACAGCAGTGGAAGCGGAAGCATCCTTCTGAATTTTATCACTTTTAATGCTAGCCTCGACCCTTTCACCGGTCAGAATTAATTCGGTGAATCTTGCAGATGAACTCCCGATTAAATGATTGAAGAATGGGCCAGACAGGGTCCCTAAAAACATGTCAACCAGCTCTCTATCCGACAATGGTGGTTGCACTCTTCCAGCCAAATCCCGCCACTTCTGGGCATATTCCTTGAATCCCTCATTAGAAGCCATACCCATACTCTGTAGTTGAGTACGAGTAGGCGCTAAATCCGCATTGTATTGGTATTGTCGGTAGAAAGCAGAAGCTAAGTCTTCCCAGTTATGAACATCAGATCTCTCAAGTTGATAGAACCAGTCCAATTGCGTGCCTGGCAAACTATCTTGAAAAAAGTGGACCCAGAGATCCTTATCAGAGGAGTGAGGTTGGATCTTTCTGACGTAGGATCTCAGATGCATCTTTGGACAGGACAAATCGTCATACTTAGCAAATGTGGGTACTTTGAACTTGGGAGGAATGACGATCCCAGCGACCAACCCTAGTTCTTCGAAATCTAAACCAGGTACCCTTTGTAACTCCATGGCTGCCAACCGATCTTCAAGATTTTTATACTTATCATCCGCCGGGGGATATTGCTGTTCGGAGTAATCTTCATCCTCTTCCTCTTCTTCTTCTTCTTCAACTTCAGATTCAGAAGGCAACGCATCTCCTTTTCCTTTACCAACCCCTTCATCAGACGTCGAAGGGAACTCGAGAACCTTTCTAGCCTGGTTTTTAAACCTTCTTCCCATAGTGGCCATACCAGTCATTTTCTTCTTTTTCTCTTTATCTTTCTCCAATAGTGCTTTAAGGTCCTCTTGACCCTTTGCTAAGGACATGAGGAGTTGCTGGAATTGCGAATTCCGGGCTTGCAGATCTTTAACCGTATGCTCCAAATCCATCTTGCTGAAATAAACAGCAGAAAGATAAGGAAACCTGGTGTGAAGACCTGTTTATGCATATGATGAATGATGTGTTATTCATGTAATGCATTCAAGGATTCAGAAAATTCAAATTTGTTGCAAACAAAAATAACACACGTCATATTAAGAAGAAATTTGTTAGTACATAAATGCTCCATGGGCAAAATATTACAAAATTCTTAACGTAAAAAGACATTGCGCATCCTCTTTGGTGCGATGTAGGTGTTAAGAGTCTCTTCTTCGTGAAGTCAGAGGGTAAGCTCCAAAACCTTCTTCTCACTGGCGTAGAAGCTGGCTTCAAAAGTATTCCGTTCTTCCTTGAGTTGTATCCAACTCTTTTGCAATTCTTCCAATGATGTTGGCATGTCAGGATGTAGGAGGGTGTATGGAACCTCTCCTTCCATAACAGGCTCTTTGATCATGGGGAGAATGTGAGGGTAAGGCATCATAAGACTCTGGGCGCGGGTTCGTACCCACTTGAGATAAGGCTCAAGAGGGATGGAATTCTTTTGCCCCATTGTCTTACTATCCACTTTGTTGGGCATCCTCCAAGCTCTGATAAACCTTTGTCGAAGTCCTTGAGCGTCGTTGTCGAAGTCAAAAACCAATTCAGGAATCAGCATGTCATGAGGGCCATCCCTCCGAGCATATCCAAACTGTCTTAGGGCTAAACATGGGTTGTAGGTAATGCCTCCCATAATGCCAAGTAGTGGGACATTAGGGAATTCCCCACAACGATCAATGATGATGACATTTTCTCTAGACCGAGAACACTAATGAACATCAGAATGTGTGAGGGTCATCAACCGTTGTGACCACCTTAAAACCTGCTCATTCTTCAAAACTGATTAGGGAAGGTGAGAAATAAACCACCTTGCTAGAAGAGGAGTACAGCACATGAGAACACCTCTTTTCCTCATTATTCGTGTGTAAAATGAGTGTAGGATGTCCCCAAGCAATGTAGGCACAGGGTTCCGAGATATGAAAATCTTGACAGCATTCACATCTATAAGTTGATCAGGGTTTGGGAACAAGACCAACCCATAGATGAGAAGTGCTACAATCTCCTCAAAAGCTTGTAGATCTAGAGAATTCCAACAGTCTTGTGCCTTCTCAAACATAAACTTTTCCAAGAAACCCTTGACACCACTTCTGGTTTCCCAATGTCCTTTGATATCAGATGGTTGCAAGTATAATGCTTGAGCAACATCTTCAGGCTTTGGTTCTTTTTCCGTACCGTTGTATAGTAGTTGATGAAGAATAGGAATTCTCAAGAGTTGAGAAAATTCCTCCAAAGTAGGTACTAGTTGGTAATCAGGGAATGTAAAACAGTGGTGTAGGGGGTCAAAGATCTGGAAGAGAACTTTCACCATGTCTTCTTCAATGTTGGAGTTGACCAAGTTGAGAAGTCTACAATGTCTTTCACTGAAAGGGGAATTCTCTGGAATCTTGGAAGTAAGCTCCTTGAGTTGAGGAGGGATTCTCACAAGGTTGACTTGAACTGTTTTCCTACGAAGAGATTCCATGACCTACAAAACAAGAACAAAGATAAAGATCCAAACCCTTGAAATGGTTAGTGGATGCATATGATGCTTTATGACGTTGATGATGTATGCACAAACATATGTACAAGCAAATCACACAAGATCCTAGTTTCAGGCTTGCATGAGGTTTCATAGGTAAGTACCCTCTTGAAGTTAGTTGGCTCAACCTGTCCTATAAATAGTAATCGGGTTCTAAGGAGCTCAATATCACTGGATTATTTTCTCTGTTCATTGTTTTGGTTTAGCCACTTAACTGGCGACCAAAATATTCCAAGAAAACAACCCTCAATGAGTGTAGTATCGAGTATCTACCAACTTCGGACTGTACCAAAGCCAGTCATATCACTACCCTTAAAAAAGGCCAAGATGGTCAAGTAAGGTTCTAAGAGTTCATTAGTGCTTCATGACATCACTCAGCGGACCCGTATTCTCTTTGATTGACTCAAAGGCTACCGGTACTTACAAATATGTCGC